AACTTCGAGCAAAAACACCATAAATTCCAATCCAAACTTATTGGTCCGACTCATGGATGATCAAGAATTCACCGATTTGATACCGGCTCTACCCGAAGAACTCGCCCTGGAATGCCTGACCCGGTTGCACTACTCAGCCCACCGGGTCTCTTCCTGTGTCTGCAGACGCTGGCGCAATCTTCTCCAAAGCACGGATTTTTACTACCACAGGAAGCAATCCGGATTCACACGCAAGGCCGCGTGCTTGGTCCAAGCCGTTCCGACTCAGTCCGAGTCCAAACCCTCGGGGCCACCCAGGTACGGGATCACGCTGTTTGACCCGGCGGCACTCAGCTGGGAACGGGTCGTCCCGGTTCCCAAGTACCAGGATGGGTTGCCCCTGTTCTGCCAGGTGGTCAGCACGGAGGGGAAGCTCGTGCTGATGGGAGGGTGGGCCCCATCCAGCTGGGAACCGGTGAGGGACGTCTTCGTTTACGAGTTCACGACTCGGACGTGGACTCAGTGCGCCGACATGCCTTCGACCCGGTCCTTCTTCGCGATTGGGGCGGCCGGCGGAAGGGTTTTCGTCGCCGGGGGGCACGACGAGAGCAAAAACGCGTTGAATTCCGCGTGGGTCTTCGACGTGAAGAGGAACGAGTGGTCCGAGTTGACTCGGATGAGCGAGGAGCGGGACGAGTGCGAGGGGGTCGTGGTCGGGTCGGAGTTCTGGGTCGTGAGTGGGTACGGCACTGAGACGCAGGGTGCGTTCAAGAGCAGCGCCGAGGTTTACGATATCGGGTCGGGTCAGTGGAGGCGGGTGGAGGATGCGTGGCGGGTCAGCCGGTGCCCCAGGTCCTCGGTGGGGTTGGCGAAGGGCACAAATGGGAATTCGCTGGTTTGCTGGGCAGAGGCTGACGCGGCCGTACGGGTCGGGGCCTGCGTAGTGGATCTCGGGGACCCGATTCTGGTTACCGGGTCGGCTTATCAGGAGGCGCCAATTGGGTTCTATTTGATGGAAGGGCAGAAAAGTAAATTGGCCAAGGTAGATGTGCCGGATGAGTATGCTGGGTTAGTGCAATCAGGGTGCTGTGTGGAAATCTAATTTTAATTTTTCTGTTTTTTTTTTTTACTTGTAAAATTTTTATTGTCGTGAAAATGTGATGTTACTGCAGTTAGTATGTGAGTAAGCGAGCGTGGTAAAAAGTGAGGTTTTCTGAAAATTTGTTACCTTTTTCGGCTTTATTATGTAAAATCTGTATAATAGAATATATGAATTGTGATTGTCTAATACATGAGTGTCCTTTTGGGAATTTATTATTGAATTATCCAAATCTTGAGCTGTGTGATATGAATCGTTATTGTCTAATATATGAGTGTAATTTTGGGAATTTATTATTGAATTATCCAAATCTTGAGCTGTGTGAATGTGACGAGAGTTTTTTGTATTGTGACAAAACTGTGGTTGGGCCCCCAGGAAAATGAAAGGCAGGACGGGTCATTTACGTTGTTTTTTATAAAGTAAATTAAGGAATATATTGTGCTTAACAATGTTTTTTATAAAGTAAATTAAGGAATATATTGTGCTTAACAATGAATTATTGATGTAGGTTGTCTCTTTATAGATATATAGATAGATATAGATATAGATATATTTATTTCGATGAATTTTTTGTAAGCAAAAACAGTTTGGATGGGGTGTGGTGTCACAATCATGAGAGCAACTTCAATGGTATCTTGTCCATTTTGTGTTGCATGTCATGAAAGAATGAGATTAAGAAATTGTGTCTCCAATAGTTAATGTTAAATATGGTTTAAGTTGACGTGTGTCAAATTATAATTGGCTGAAAAAGAGAGGAAAATTGAATAAATAATATAATATACAATAGAAGTTGTCTAGAAGTACTTCTACATCTAGAAATATTTCTAGGACTTTTTTTATGCCACATGGATTTTTTTGTGCCGTGTGACAAAAAAATGGGGCAATCCAAAACCATTGGAGATGCTCTTAGTTGCTGTTAGTGTAAAATGGGTCTTAACTTGCAGATTTCTTTGTTTGTTTTAATGTTTGAGAAGGTTGTGGTTACTTTTGGTAGTTGGGCTCCATCAAGGATTGGGCTACAACCCATCCTGTAAGAGTTATTATTAACGAGTTTATTGAAGCCCATAATAATGTTGTAACTAAACTATATATAGGTTATGAGTTTATTCTCAGATCTGGAGTGAACTGGTGGTAATGAGCTCATATCTGCTTGAATCGCCTTCGAACCGCTACTAGACCGCGATAACACCTGCAAGAACTCAACGCTGGAAGTGTTTTCGGCGTAGAGCGTCCGACGCTCAAGTCAGTACGTGAAAGAGATGAAGAGAGGTTGCTCTGAGAGAGCAGCAACAACTATGGAGGAGAGTATGGAATGAATGGAAGTTAGGGTTTAGGGTTACCCCACCTCTTTTATATAGGAGGAAACACTTACTTGGAGTACCAAAAATGCCTCGATTGGTTGACCTGAAAGGTCTAAATTGCCCCGGTCGATTCGTCTCCCCTCCTTGAGTCATGACAAGATTCCTTCTTATCCATTGGAGGACAAGAGGTTTCCAGAAATGTCTCAAGTGTGTTGAGTCGTCATTGTGTTTCTCGTCTCGAGGTGCGAAGAGTCGACCTTGAGTACGAAGAAGTCGACTCGGGATTTTCTGGCTATTCGGAGGCTACGCTCTTGTTGGTCTTCTCAAATAGATGTCGACTATTGGGGAGTCGACTGAACGAAGTCGACTAGTATTGGGATCTACCATTTCTTGCCATCAATCTTATGAAGAGTCGACTTTGAGGAAGTCGACTTGAGCCAGTCGACGGGCACATGTCGCCGTGTGAACGATTTGAGCCACTTTCCGGTCGAGTAGAGAGCCTTTATGCCAATATATCTTGATATGGCTATATCAATAGGAAAAGATAAATGTACAGATTCAAATTATTCAATTTGAGCTTGATGTTGCACATTTTATGATTTGAGTTAAAAAACTGCAAATTATTTGTATGAAATCCGATACTTGGTCTTCAGGGCAGCAGGAGTGCATGCCTCATCCAATGTCAGCCAATTTTACAAGAGAGTAGAGACCAATCATCATAAGAAATAAACTGTTGAAATGTTTCAAGTTTGCAGTTTGTGTTTATCCATAATTAAGTTTATGGGACCCTTTTGTTTTGGGATTGATTTGTACTACTTTTGATGGTTTATCATATGAAAATTAGCTGCACATATCTGGGTTTCCTCCCTCAAACTACTCCCAAACCTTTTAGACCAAAATTAAAGACTATTTTACGACCGAAAAAGCTAAGCAACGAAGAATACAATGACATAAACTGGGAATTTCGAGGAGTGACAGCATGCATGATTATATTACTTAAACCAACACACACACAAAGAAAAATGAACTTTTTGGGGAGCATACAATTTAAACATTAAGATTTCAATAAATAGATAGCATTATTTTCACGTATTACTATCAATCAATAACCATTGATCCCAAGAGCCTCCTTGAGAAGACGCACGAGACTACAAGGTAGAGTGAGGTGAGGAAAATGGCCACTCGTATTAAGAATCCGAACATCCCCCAGCTTCGTCTTCATGTAAAAAGGCAACGTTATTGCACTGTAATATCCCGCTTGGAATGAATAATACATGAACAAAAGGCAAAAAATGCCTATTGTCCCTCAGGAAAAGGGTCTTTGCCACATCCAACAAAACCCCGGGTTTTAACCATAGTAAGCTGCTCTCGAATTCTTGTACTGCATTTGTGTCATTAACACCAATTGCATGCCTCTGCAGGTGCAAAGTATGATTTCTCCTTATGCTCTCAGCCTCCAGATAAAATTACCTGGGAGAAAAGGAGATGGTACGTGAAACAAATCAGGCCTTGTGGTAGCAGCTATACACCCGATCATAGCAGACATGGAGTGGCCTACGAATATGGTCTCCTTTAAGTTGAGCTCGTCGAGTAAGCAGGTTAAGTCTTGTGCGTACCAACTGAATTAAACTCGAGTATCTGAGTGGGGCCCACAAACGATCATAAACCAATACCTTGTAGTAGAGCGCAAGTGCTGGTAATTAATATGTAGTGCCAAACGCTCTGGTTTGTGACGTCCATTGTTTGACGTATATGTTTGCGTTTAGAGCTTCCGCAAATTGTTTTCCAATTCCACCACAGTATGCAATACTACTTTCCATGCTAATAATAGATTGATTTCTTACAAGATACAGTACTGGACCAACTCTAAAAACACACACTCTGCAGTTTAGATAGTTATGGACGGACCAACTCTTGGTTATAAGATTCTATCTCAATTGTGTAAAACCACTGGACTTATCTCTCTTCTCTTACCTATATATGAAGGAGTTTGACTGTTTGTGGTCTTGACAAGTGTCCAATTCAGGCTCTCAGTGACCGACAAGTATCCACAATTATTACTTTTTTNTTTTTTTTTTTTTTTTGGTGGACTAATTTGCCCTTGCTTTTACAATTTCTTAGGAGCTGAAATACGTACAGATTGAACTTTCTATTAACAGATCACATGAAAGACCTGCACACCCAAAATATTGTTCAACTGTGCCATCAAAAACACGTTTAGTTCATCGTATACTATTTATTATAATTTCATTTTTCTACATCAGCTTTGGGAACTAAATAAGCTAAAAACACTCTGCTGCACCTGATTCTTGATGCTCAAAGCTCATTTATCAAGTTAGGTATATGAAAATTATGGATTTTTGACAGCATGAAAAAGTAGGGTGGTACCATTATAATCTGCCAACTACTTACACCTTTTGGCCTTTATTATTCTGCGAGCTGAAGAAGAGTTCAGATTGATATTACATGCATTTATCATTCAGGCCGGAATATAAATATAAATATTAATAATCACTCAGTCAATAAGGTCTAATCGCATATTTTCATTGTTAGGCTTTAATACACTTAATTAATGCATATGGTCCCATAATAACTCATTCAGTAAGGCTATACGGTTAATTAGTGATGTAGGAAAACGTACGAGTGAGAAAGATAAACGAGATAATCTCTCGATAAAACTCACAATCAATTCATATTTCATTCATAACCAACCAAGGAAAATAAACTACAAGGAGTCCTTGATACAAGGCTCCTAACGGTAGACCTTAACTTGTCCAACATGACAAGATCTCTTGCTAAATATTAAACAATAATATTAAATTCCTAACTTATTCTCTAAGACACCTATTAAATAATAATAATAGATACTAATCTACAGCCTAATCGTTAGACAATCATACTTTTTCAAAAGGTATACATGTCAGGAGATGGACGAAAGAGGATACCCTACTTGATGAAAATTTATAGTTTACATTGTTCAAGAACGTTTGGAGCGAACGCAACAACAAATTTGGCAAGCATGTGTATACAAATGGCGGCATAAATGTAAAGCAAGAAAGCATTACAATGACAGGCATACTCTTGTTAGGAATTCCGTACTATAAATTGTGTCGAGGCTGATCATATGAAAGGGAACAATATGTACTCGGCGTAGAACAGGTTCCATATGAAACGATAGAACTCGGAGATGGCGTCCTGCAAAATACATTTATTTGGGATTAATTATAATCCAGAAAAAAACTCAGCGTAAATATAGAGTCTAAACAAGATGGCTGGCAGCTTCTTGGGTGTGCAAATGCTTGTTGGTCAACAAATTATATGATAATTAGATTCAGAGATGACACCATTTTATACATGAGGCACATTCCAACAATCTGTGTATTAAAGCTGAATATATCTGAATATGATTGTTACCTTTTACAAGGATGAAGGATCAATCATGTTTCAGTTAGAAAAAGTTCCATATAATCTCATTTCATAAACAGTTCAAACTATGTCGAACAAGTATAATAATATAACAAAAAACAACTTCATAGTTTGAACTGACCTTGGTATAGTTTGCTCTTTCCAGTAAAAATGCCTGCAAGACAGCAAAAAGTAAAATAACTAAAGAGTATGATACGACAAACCATTACATGGCTTATACGATATTTTCTGCCATGCAGCATTGTTGAAAAAGAGCACTAAATATACCTCTAAATTTTTTTTTGGGAAACTAAACCTTAAAGGAGGCTATAACCATCGGGTACTGGAAATTGATATATCCATATAGAAGATAAAAGATATTTATAACTGCAGAGACTAATTTTGGGTTTCTTCATTCAAAATGAAGTTCTACTTCAGTAACTTACAAATACGTGACAGACCATCAGTCAATTTAAAATAAAAGTTTAGAAAAACTATGATCACTAACAGGTTACATAATAAAACACAATATAAGCTTTAAGCTTATCCTATAAGAAAAACATATAAAGCTTTATGCTTATCCTCTAAATCTGGCTACTATAAAATATTTTTACCTGGAAAATTAAACCTGAGGCCAATATAACATGTGAAGGTATCATCAAGCTCCTCTTAAAGGCCTGCAACATATCGAAGCTTGAAGTCCTAATTTTTTTTTTAGAATCATCACTATTCAAAGGTTTGTTTAGTGATAACGACATCAATAGCAACATAGAGAAGAGAGACGAAGGGAGAGTTACCTGAGGCATGTAAATTGCTGCCAAAATAGAACCTATGTAATTTACTAACAGAAGCCCAGATCCAAGCAATGCAATATTTCTCACACCAAGTTTTGTTGCCAAGGTCGATATCTTAAACCTATCAATTCATATTGAACGATTACATTTCTGTTATTACATACGAAGCATAGTTTGGAGCGTAATCAATGTAAGAGAAAAAAATACAATGTGAAATAAAAATGAAACTTTACACAGAACAGCGGCCAATCAGAAACTAAAGTTCTATGTTACCAGCTAATTCAGTTTGGCAGAGTATACAATAGCAAGAACAACACAATAAGCAAGAATCAATGGCGAAGAGGATTCGGTTACTAACTTGCGGTCACCTTCCACATCAGGAAGATCTTTGGTTATGGCAATGACAAGAGCAAATAATGTTACAAATGTGGTGATGAATGCAACTGGTGAGCTGCAAGAATGAAAAAAAGAAAACACAACAACATCAGGAAAACAGGCAGAAAAACAAAAGAAACTCAGTATTTTTGACTTTTTGTCTAGCTATTTTACCTCCATTCAAATGGTAGACCAAGGGCAGCTCTAGTGGCATAATACACGCCATAGTTAAGAAGGAACCCCCGGACCTGCAAAATGACTCAGTATTTACTTAATCCAATGGGAATAAAAAATCAGGCTCTAAATAAGTAGATTAAATGTCACTAATTACTAGTACAAGCAGCATCAACAAGAAAAATCTCTTTTTGTGGTGTTTTATCAGCTTAAAGAAAGCAGCACCTTGAGTCTACCTAGAGAATCACAACGTTAGTTGTATACAACCTTACCGTGGCTATGATAAGAAATGCTATGATGGGATATTTTTTCATCCGAAATGGGGGAACAGAGTAGATAGTGCCCAGGAAAAGACCGAGGCTGTAAAGAGACGTAATGAAAGGTCCAAAATTCAACCCAACAATTAAGAGACCAGAAGCAGCAAGAATTAGCACCAAGAACCATGCTGACTTTTCTGAAAGATCTCCTGCAGCTATGGGTAAGTAAGGTTTGTTTACCCTGCATTGGAAGGGTATTAAAAGGTAGAAATTAACACAAATGATTCTGTTATATATGCCAGTCGGTATATTTAACACTGATCCGTGTAATAAAAAGTAAAAACCTAAGCTTGCACATTAAAGGTATGCATGATTGTTACTCACTTGTCGATGCCAACATCATAAATCTGGTTAATTCCCACAATATAACCATTTCCGCAAATGAGTGCTACAAGTCCAGAAAATGCCTTCAGCAATAATGACCACTTTATCAAATTGGGATTCTCGATTAAAGCTCTCGTTACCAGAGAACTGTAAGAATTGTATGATTGGAGAAAGTCAGATGTAATTCCGATAGCAAAATTGCTAAAATTCATGCATTTTGATGAAAGTAGAAAGACATTTTCATCATTTCTCACACAGATCCTAATGTTGTTCCACGTATGGTGTGGGGTCTCAGAAATCTCCAGAAGGCACCCCTGAATTGTAAGATTTTATTCAACTGAGGATCAGTTCCAGCAGCATCAACTCTAGCGCAGGCCTGCCAATTTAATCTTTCATGTAACCTCTGTTAGTAATTATTTATATTCCCACAACTCACTTCAAACAAAATTCTTAGTATAAAGGCAGCAGATAGCTATACACAGGCATTGTAGCTTTGTTAAATCAAATCGGAAAGTATCAACCCCATTTCCAAATCAACGTAAATGGGGCATCGATAATTTTCACTTTGTTTCACATAATCAAACTGATCAATGTCCATTAATATGGAACACGATTTGATTAAATCACTCTGTTTGCAGCTAAATACGCACATTTCAACTTTCAGGATTAAACCTAAATACCAATATTCAGTTGCGAATGAGCATCACCTTTACCAGCTCCGAGAAAACTCAGAAGTAGAACCTAAAGCAGCTCTACTAGCATGAAATACGAGAATGTATGATGAATATAATTGCTCTCTGGGATCTTTAACATTATATAACACAATTGTGCAAAGAATCAGAATCCAACTGACTATTTAACATTGGGAGCTTAATGAATAATATAAAATGGGACTTAAAAACATAATGATTCCAAATTTAAAACGCCGTACCATTATTTGAACCTTGCAGCAGTTGAAAAACCAAGTGTGCAAGAATGAAAAAGGCTCAACGGTGGAGTTTTCAATAGCACAAAACCAATATAGACAGTAGATAAAAATGAAAAATTGGACATACCCAGATGGAATGGCGAGTGTGGGGAACGGCGGAGGGCCTTTTCGAGGAGTATTTGTGCGTATGCAGCCCAGTTGAAATTGAAAATGACAGGTTCTTGGAGAATTTGAGTAATGACAAAGAAGTCAACTTGTTTGGCGGAAGAGCAGAAATCCTGAGGTAGGAGGAGGATGAGATCGAAAGCTCCATGCGAGCTCAACTCTCCCAATTTTCTTTTATTGTAATCTCTATTTTGTCTTTTTATTTGGAGCTGCAGTGCAGATGGAATCGGTCACTTGAGACTTGTGGTGATGAGCGAGTGCAGCTGAGGCCGACCGGCCGAGAGAAGATGGCTGACGTCAACCCCTTGTATTGGATTTCGCATCTCGACCCATCTATGTAAAGGCCCATTACTGCATGTAAAGTCCGTTTAGCCATTGGGCTTACTTTACCAGGATTCCAGAAAAGGCCATTTTTGTCATATCACATCTCCACAACCGTTGGCCCATTAATTGATTTTTCATCCTTCACCTCACATCTTAATCTCAGCCCTGGTCTAAAGATGATCTAGCAGCCTGCCAACATCTCCGTAGCGAGTTGATTGAACTAACAACCACATCTCCACCTTTCAATTCTTCAATTTCACTTTTTGAGCACAATCTTGCTCTTGGATAAAAGCTGATTGATTTTCACAAATATAACCAAATAATCAAATAATTCTGGGATATAATAATGTGTCAAACTAAACGAGTTGCTCATAACTCAACTCGTTAAAGACTCGAATTCGACTCAACACATTTAATAAACAAGTTAAGCTTTATGCTCATTGAGTTAACAAGTAGAACTCGATTCAGCCAGACACGTTAAGACTCAAAAAGAAAAAAATTACATATAATTATTCCATAACTTACTCGTTAATGTTTGAATTGATCTCCTTTATACCGCTAAGTGACCAGAATCTACCATCGTCTCTACAATGGACGCTATATTTTATATACCGCACTTCTTTTAAATATGCGCATCTCTCCGCAATCACACTCCAATATAAATATAGCTCATGTTGCTCTCTACACTCTCAATGATCCGAACTTTCGTTAATTCCTTTCTTCTNAAAAGAAGTGAAAATATGATTCAGAAATCCAATTATTCTTTATTGCATCCAAGTACTCCACATAACACACAATCATAATTATAGTGACACACAAACAAACAAACAAACAAACAAACAAAACAATTCACAGTCACATTATTTATTAAGACACATAATATGAAAGGGCTCTCCTCATCCACACCCAGTGGCGAAACCAGCCAGTCATACCGGGGAGGGCCCAATTTGCCGCGGCGCACCACCCCCACTCCGGCCATCCCGCGGCGCACCACCCCAATTTGCTCATTTTGATACTATTTAACGCAGAAATTCAAACTCCCATAATTAAATGCTGGGAACTTCGAAAAATACGAAATTTGTCCGTATAGAATCGTGCTTGAATTGTCTACACGCTCCAACTCGATTCTCGTTAAACCGAGATCACACGCAACCTTACGGAACCCCGCAAAACGGCTTTTTATTCTTCTATTATGCGCACTCGACTTCGAGCTTCTCAAAATAAATGCTCGAAACTTCGAAATGTGAAATAAATTTTACGAACGATTTCTACTCTTCTCGTGCTTTCAAGGAAGCACTCCCGCTAATTTTCAGCACGCCTAACGAGGGCCGACGGTTACCCGAAGTCTAGACATGAAAATGACAATAAAATCACGGCCACTGCCATTTTTCTCTCAACTTCGGGCTACCCAAAATAAATGGTCGGGAGCTCAAAATCATAAATCGATGCCACCAACGCACTCTCCGCTTCCCATACTTTCATAAAAGTATTTTTCGGTAATGATCGACTCGTTTTTTAGTCCTGTCGGTACACCGCAAGTCGGCTAATTAACCAACTCAAAATAGAATAAAAATAAAAAAAATATTAAATTCTGCTGCTGTTATAGTTCTTCTTGTCCAGCCAGATTCCTTCAGTTCCACGTGAACAAAATTTTCGCGACAAAATCGGTGGCGCCCCTCCGGCCATGTATGCACCGTATGAAATCGGGGAGGGCCCAACATGCGCGCTCAAAGGAAAATCTTCCAGTTCCAGCAAAATTCCTCACCCCTAGTTCGAAATTTTTTTTTTTGGGGGGGCCGGCGCCATCCCAACCATACACATGGTTTCGCCCCTGTCCACACCCAATGACTACTAATGGCAATGCAGTTTTCAGTACTCTACTCCATCATCATCCTCATCTTCTCCTGCATCCTCTGCACCGACTTCTTCATAATCCTTCTCGAGATGCTCCCACGCCTCGGAAAACTCCCCTTCCTCCATCCTCTGTACAAATGCACAAACGCAGTCTTCGCGTACATCAGATCAAACTTATGGTCGATGCGCGAGAAAACCTCTGCCACCGCCGTGTAATTGTTGCTTATCATGCACACCGCGTGCTGCACCCACGCCAGATCCCCGCCCGGGACCATTGCCAGAGGCTGGTAGTTAATCCCGCACTTGAATCCTGTCTGAATCGTGCGCTTCGTCTTGATTGTGGCATTCACGTCCTTGGGCACAATGTCCCCACGGTACATTAGGCAACACGCCATGTACTTTCTGTCTCGAGGGTCGCATTTGTCCATCATGCTAGAAGGCGAGCTCATGATCTCTGGGGCAGACAACTGCTCGTGGTAAGCCTTGGCTGCAGAGATGACGGGAGCGTAAGACGAGAGCATGATGTGGATGCGCGGGAGGCACGTTGATTGCACCATCGAACCTTAATGATGTGGTTAGGATGAGATTATTTGGGAAATTAATAAGCAGTTTAGATTGGTGTAGGTAGGCCTCTTGCTCTCCTGCAAATATCGTAAATTGCTTCCTTGTCCAGAAGGACTACTACATCTGTGTGCTCGAGCAGAGAGTGAGTCGATAAAACGCTGTTATAAGGCTCCACCACAGTAGTTGAAACCTGAGAATATTCAGTTATTTACCAATCAGCATTTAAATTATACTAGTAAAGTGCACGTGCGATGCACGTGACGACGAATGTTTTTTACGGATTAAATTTAGTAAGATAAGTTAATTAATTTATTACACATATATATGATTGCAGTAACAAAATAAAATGTAGAATAAATAAAATTTTCATGCATTTTATTTTAAATAAAAAAATGTTGTCGTAATATAAAAAAGATTTAAATATCATATTACAACTCCAACAAAAATATATGAAAAATGAGTTCCTAATGAAAAAACAATAAATGACTAAATAAAGACATAGTGTATATTATAGATGCATGAGTTATTTTATTTATTTATGTTAAATTCAAGAGTCATTTTCTTTTATTTGGTTTTGATGTTCTCATAAGAAACATTCACACTCGTTGAATTCTAATACATCAATAGTATTGCAAAATTCTTCTTAATTAATTTGGCAAAACGTCTGTTTTATTCAACACTTAGAAATACTTTAGCCAAACATATAATCAAACTTCATGATTGTATGATCATTATAAGGTATTTCTACTAATAGTTCATAAGTATCTATGTGAAATAAACAATTGTAGCATTAAATTTCTTGATATTTGTGTCATTAAAATTCTTGATATTTATTTTAATCACTGATAAACTACTACATTTGTCTCTCTCTCTATCCACATAGATAAATTGGTACTTACCCCATGAGGTGGGAACGAATTTCATCTCTAAACAAAATTTGATTTTCTAAAATCATTTACTTCTCTGAAGATGCTAAATTATTTTTTTTGAAATCATCACACATTACATAAAAATATGTACTCTAAAACAATTGCGCGTATGATCGATCACAACACACAGTTATGATTGTAAATATTCTTATAAAAAAGTAACAACTTATTCAACATTCAAAAATATTTTGATCAGAATCAAACATTCCCTTTTCAGTGTTATTAATTTAGAAGATAGATACCTTGCATATTCTTTCGGATTTGCAATATATATGTGTCTAATAACATTTATTGTCCAATCTTTTGTATCATAACTAATGCTTAAAAAATTCAAGATAAAGATCCTTTAGTGATTCTTCAATAATAACAAAACAAAACAAAACAATGAAACAATATTGAGAAGTATTTGTCAAAATATTTCAGATGAGAAGAATTTGAATTATACTATATTATGATACTCTTAGTCATCTGTTAACTTTATTATTATGAAGTCATTATTAAAGTTTTTGGTCTATCTTATGATAATATCGAATCATTATTTATGAGAACAAATTTCTTATAGAGAACATATACTTAAATGCTAGCAACAAAAAAAATAGTAATTTTAAAAGATTTTTGTTTCTTGATATTAGTATTCATACTTTTCTAAAAAAAATCAGAATTTTTCTTTTCTTCATTGCATTACTATTGGTTTACTTATTTTTTTTTTATTTGTTGAAAGAATTAGAGAACATTTATATGCAATGCGTTCTTTTTACGTGTTTGATAGTAATAATATACTTGACAAAAATGTTGTTTTATATTGTTTATAATATTAAAAAGATTTGAATTTATTTCCATGTTCTGATAAAATATTAAGTAACTAATTCATGTATTCACAAAAAATACATTTTACAACCATTATGGTGCTCCCTTTCAAGCAATAATTGAATAATAGTTTAACATACAACCTATTTATTATTTTCTTTTAATTCACATATTTAATATTGGTAATAGTTGTACAATTACATCTAGTTGAATTTTTTCTTAGTATGATTATTTCAAATCTATGACAGAAAAATATACCACAAGTTTATCTAATGTTATTTTATAATTAATATATTTAATTTAACATGGATCTATAATTATTTTATAAGATTCTTTTAGGTCTATTTATTATTTTAAATTGGTATATATATATATTATTTTAAATTGGTATTGATATATATATATATATATATATATATATATATTATTTTACATCGATATAAATAATTATATTATTTTTATTTTATTTACAAAACATTGGTAAAATCAAATACCATGGGAAAGAAATGACATGATATATTACATATAAAAGGGTTACCGAAAAAAAAATCAGTATTTCAAAATTAAGAAATATAATGGTAAAAATTAAATAATTTTTTAACTAAAAAATTATGACTAAAATACCGATTTCTAAGACAAAAAAATAAATATATTAATGTGCATCTCAAGTATATTTTACATTTATCATTCGCTAGCTCCAATTGATATATGACATTTATTAATTTTATCGTTTTTTTTTTTACTTTTGAGTGGAACGTCAGTTATAAGCTTTCTCGTTGTGTAGTTTTACTTTTTTATTACGTAGAATATCATTTTTACATCTTGTTTAGTATTAACATTACCTTTTCAGTAGAAAATCACTCTGACCTCTTCTTTAATTATTATAAGACTAATAAAATATTTAAGGACTTTTCAACTTATATGTATTTTTTTTAATTACTAATTATCATAAATTAAATGATAATTACATTAAATATGTTATATTTTGTATCATTATCAACAATTTTCAAAACAATTAATTGCACACAATATTATATATAGTGCAAATTTTTTAGTTTGATTTGGAGTCATACTTTTACTACAAGAAAATGATGAAATTCCAATGAAAACATATTACAGCGAAATTTCAACAACAATTCTAACGAATATTTCAACGTTACAATTTTTGTTTAAATTTTTCAATGAAAATTATAACAAAAATATTTTGTTGCAATCATATGCAGATCCATGTTTGTCCAATAGTCCCGAAACTGGCATCATCCCAAAACAAACATAAGATATCTAACAAACATTATGGCATATTTTTCATAATTTTAATCATGTCCTCTATTTAAAAATAAAATTAAAAGAATAAAGACAAATAATGATTAATTTACAACTCAAACAATCATAATTTAATTCAACTCATAACGTTATTAAAATTATAGCATCAATGCGGTTTCCCAACTAAAGAAAATATGATATTAAAGTTTAAAATTTTGCGCTCTATTTCTCTCTTTTCTTTTTATTCTTGATGATATCTTGTTATCTCTCTTTTGAGACATAATTTTTGTCTAATTTTAGAAAATACATTTTAAGTCTTTTTTGAATGTATGTAGAATTCTAGTTATATATTCGTAGTTTATACATTCATCTATTGTCGAGGCAACTATACTACAACATAAAATTTTTGTTCATAAAATTTTTTTATGAACTTCTTATGTCGAATTGAGAAAATATATGCTTTTTTTTTAATATTATTGAACTTATTGTGATTGTATTGATGTGTTAAAAAAAGTAATACATATGAGAAAGTTGATAAATTATGAAAAGTATACTTTATAAATTATAATGACATTATGTTGTTTTGATGCAATACTTTTTGTATTAATTAGATAGTGCTCTTAACATGAAATTATTTTGGATTCGCCATTGCAGCTAGTTTTTCATTAGAACTTTCATTGTTTTTCCCAATTTCAGTGACAATTTTTTTAATGGTTGAAATATGGCCGAAAAAGAAATCCAATGTAAATTCACACAAAAATAAATATTAGTAATTGAGATATTAAATATTAAATTTACTCACCATTAGAATAGCCAGTGAATCTTTTCAATAGAAGCTATACCAATGAAATATCTGTTGGTATTTTCTGTGGAATACCTAAACAACATCGATTTTAAATATTTTACTAATATTTATTAATAAACTTGTAAAATTAAATAAATATTGTTGAAACAGTTATCTTATTTGATAGGATACTTACGGTTAAATAAACTCTTAAATTTTATTGAGAAAATCATAAAAGTATTTAAGAATCTTGAATAATATCAATAAATAAAATATTTTATTTATAAAATTTTGAATTATAATCGTTCATAGAGCGCTCAACTTGATAATTAATTGTTCAAATAAAATAATATAATAATAATTAAAATGTCACGAACATTTTTATTAATAATTGAATGAAAAATTTCAAATATTTTAAGTCTTAATAATTAAAAAATTACGCAACTTGATTTTAATCACCTAATGGTCACGTGAAGATTCGCTAACTCTATTAGCTTTGCGACCAATTTTTGAAAATACAAACCACTAAACAATGACGATTTTTGTGGGATCAAAATTCAATCCAATAAAACTAAGGTGCAATCTAATTCTAGTTCTAAATACAAGAGTTTATTTTTCTTAAATAATGACCTAGTTAAATGAATTCTTCCATTATTCTAGTTTGTTAGATTATGTATGTATCTTGGAAATTATTTATTATATAAAATTTACCCCTCAACTAAGTTATCATGTTTTACCAAGATTTATCGTTTTGTTAAAAGATAGGTAAACAAATAATTGAGAATATTTAGATCATTTATAAGTATTTATTATGTTGTTTGTTGCATAATTTTTTGTTTAAATAAATTTTATATATCAAAATCATTAAATATGATTACGATTTTATCATCAAAAGTATATTAAAAATAAGTATGTTATTCAAAACAAAAATTCAATATCATTTCAAAACTTTGTTGCTTGGGTTACTGTTGAGTTGATTTTTTAGAGATATGGAAGAAAACAGTTTGAGAGATATGTTGAAGAAACCAAATTCTTGAAGAATAATGGTGTGAATATTGTGGATGATTTTTAAGAGATGTGGAATGTTTTGTTCATTTAATTGTATTAAATGAATAAAATATTAAATGAGTAGTAGTGTATTACTAATTTGACATTAAAAATATGTCAAATAAAGCGTTTTTTAGGTAAATATTAGTTATTAATAAAAAAAAATATAAGATGGGATATATATTATGTTATTACTAATTTGCCATTTAAAATATACCAAAGGAAGGGTATATTAGTTAGTTCTTTCTTTTACAAAAATACTCGTTCTTTTATAGTAGTATTTTGAGTTACCATTTTAGTTAGCACAACATTTAGACATAGAATATAATAAAACATTTGGACTAAATATTGTATAAGATTATTTTGTAGATATATTGTTTACAAGAACCAATTTGTTTTGGTGGACTTCTGTGGAAAAGTTATTTTTTTTCCAACAGCTACTTAGCTAAGAGATCATAACAGTTTCTTTAAAGACCACCTCAATTTCCATCACTTTTAGTAAAATTTAGAATTATTTGAGTCATACTTTGGGCGTGGATCATAATAGTCTCCAATGTTACGCTGTTAGTTATTTAATTAAATATTAGTGATTAACTAAAAAATATAAGATTTGAAGAGTAGTAGTGTATTAATAATTTGACATTAAAATTAAGTCAAAGTAAGGGTTTTTTAGGTAGTTCATTTGTTAATTAAAAATATAAAATAAGATGAGTATTACTGTATTACTAATTTGCCATTAAAAATATGTCAAAGTAAGGATTTTTTAGGCAGATCATCATTTGTTAATTAAAAATATAAAATAAGATGGGTATTACTGAATTACTAATTTGCCATTAAATATATGTCAAAGTAAGGGTTTTTTAGGCAAATCATTATTTTTACAAAATCACTCGTCCTTTTATAATAGTATAGATAGATAGATAGATAGATAGATAGATAGATAGATAATATACTGTAGAAAAAAGAAGAAGAACCTGGGGGATGGATAAATGGTAAAGCCTAGTTTTGCCATAATCGACCTCGAGGAGCAAAGAGCCGAGGCCGGAGTCAGTACCGCCACCCACGGGGCATTGAACACCAAGAAGCCTTGTAGACCAGTGCAGTTGTCGGCTAACTTTCTCACGCAATCCAGGCAAAGGTCAATGATATCCTTACCAACTGTATCAATCATATAAACATTTTATTTTACCCCTTAAATTTTATTCACGGAAATAAATTAATTAACAGCGCGACAAAAAAACAAACTATAGTACCTGTGTAGTGTAGTGTCCCCTGGCAAAGTTGTTGACACCATCCTCTTTGCCGCAAATGAGTTGCTCCGGATGGAACAGCTGCCGGTAGGGCCCACTCCGAACTTCATCAACAACAGTGGGTTCGAGATCCACAAAAACGGCCATGGGTACATGCTTCCCGACACTGGTTTCATTAAAGAAGGTGTTGAAAGAGTCGTCTGCCACTCCAAAGGATTTGTCAATGCAAGCACAAACAGACAAACAAACCAAAAAAAATCTCTCTTTAGTGATAAACGGCAATTTAATGGACACAAAGGAAATAACCAACACTGAGCAGAATAACTACAAGGTGTTTGAAGAAAAGGTTTACTGATTCTGGGAGATCAAATCAATTGCTATCTGCAAGTAACTGATCAACCAGTTAAACCTATTACTCTGCCCATTGATAGGGGAAGGTCTATTTAGATATTCAATGCTGACATCAAGAGACAACATCTAGAGCATGTCTGTGTTGGTAATTTTCACCAGAAATGCAATTTTGTCTAAACTAACACTAAAGCTGACCATATCTCTCAAACCAGCCCAGGCCCAACACACAATTCAGCAAAATGACAATCTTTCATACGAAACAAGAACACGAAGTATACAATATCAAACAACCCAAGAATACACATTGAAAAACACTACTACTGATCTACAAACTAATAAAAATGCAATCTTTAGAAGGATAAACCAAAGGGTAAAAGGGAAAAAGGATAAAATGATACCTAGGCATCAAGCCATCGGGTTGAATGCCATGTTCGAGGCAATACAGCTCCCAGCAAGCATTGCCAACTTGAATTCCGGCCTGACCAATGTGTATGCTTATGATCTCTCTCATCCTTCCTTATTGATTAAGTAAAAAACGACTACTGAGTTATGACTATATACTGGATGCTGTCTTATTTGCTCGACTATCACCTTTTTTCATTTCCAAATCCCGAATTGTAAGATAAAATTCTTATTTTACGAGATGAAAAGCAACAATACATGATAGGCGATAAGGTGCCACCTACCCATCTGCCAAGGACAGTGATCGATGTAGTAGATTTTTTTTATGCAGAAGCTTTTAGTGGGGCTTTACAGCTGGGCTGCCGGTTCTATGGCCCCGTCTCCTTTTTTCGCTCAGTTTCTAAGCCTGATAATAACTTGAAGTAAGGGATCTACCTTTAACCTTCTTGCTATCTAATTAAACTTTGAAGTCTTGTAGTAAGATTAATTTAATACTGATATTACTAGTAGACAACACCCATGTGTTAATATAAAATTTATATTTGATGTAATTGATATTATAAAATGTAATTGATAGATAAATTTATTTAATTAATAATTGTTTTTATTAATACTTAAGTAATATTAATAGATATTTTACTTTATATAAATATATATTATTTATATGTAGTTATATACAATATTCGAGTTCATTAATTTATTTTTTCAAAAAAATAAAATAAAAATGAATTTAAATTAAAATATTATTACATTTTTTGTTCAGAAAAAAAAAAGAATTAAAAAATATTTGAATATTATTAATAAACAAATAAATAAATAATGCCATCATCAAATCGAATATATCCGCTCGGCTACTCCGGGCGGCTTACAGTCAGAGGAGCTCGAAATCTTTAAGCTGGAAAGAATATGTCGACGGTGAAAGCGGTGGCAATCATCTCCGGCGCAGACAACATCAAAGGATTCATCAACTTCATTCAACAGCCTGCTGGTTATTTCATCTCTCTCAAATTTTCATCTTTATCTTACTTTTGATCGATTAACCTTGAGCGATTTTGGAGATTTAGAGAATAACAAATTCTATTGATCAATGATGAACAGGAGGTACCCATATCAAAGGAAGGATTACTGGGCTGAGCCCCGGACTCCATGGATTTCACATCCATGCTCTTGGGGACACCACTAATGGCTGCAATTCCACTGGTCCATTTCTTTCCGTTTCCTTATTTCTTTTTATTTAATAGTATGAAATTGAGTTAAGATGTGTAGTGTGATCTTTTTTATGATGATAGTTGATAAAAAAGAGTTTGTGCTTTGATGTTAATTCTGAAGTAATTGATACTCTGATGTCATTTTACTTGATATAGCTATCTGATGCTCACCTCATTGTCAACTGCTGTGCTGTTCGAATCAAGAGATAAAGTTTTCCTATTCTTGTTCTGATAAGCGTTGCTCATAAAAAAATGGGGCTTTTAAACTTGAAGCTTTACTAATAGAGTAACATATCTAGTAGTAATCTTGACATGCATTTAATCTATGAAGCTCATGTTTAAGACCTTTAACTCCATATTTGGATTTTTTTTTTCAGAAACTTAAGCTACTTCTGTTCTGCTTGACTTAATCCAGTTGAGCCCTGCCTATATATTTTGCTTTTAAGAGTCCGTAAGATACAGTTTGTTAAGTTATTTGCCCCTTCAATGTTCAGGACCTCATTTTAACCCATTAAAGAAGGATCATGGATCTCCTTTAGATGACGAGCGGCATGTGGGTGACCTGGGAAACATTGTGGCTGACTCAGATGGTACGTTTCTCATTTCATTGAGTTGATTTCTTTGTTGAATCTGTTATTCAATTGAAATTCAGGTATATTTAATCAATTTCTGTTGCAGGGATTGCTGACATTTCAATTGTAGATGGCCAGGTAATGTACTTACAGAACATCTCCTTTCCGTTGCATGGACTAGTTTCGACTTTTTTTCTTGTTGTGGTCGAAGTAGAAAAAGTTTCTCATTTCTTTCTTTCGTTCTTGTTTTGTTTTTTTTTTTCATTTTTCTTTTTGTTTTTGTTTATGCGTTGATAAATTCTAGCATCGATTTGTAGATTTTTCTTGGATAGCACCTTGAACTTATTGGCTTAATGTGAGATCAACTGTGTAATCCAGATAACATTACACCCGACCATTTTATGATTTTAGTTAATAGGGTATTCTTTGTGTTATTGGACAAATAGTATATAGAGTTGTGTCCTACCATTGTTTCATCATTTTCTGTTAACAGATTCCCTTAACTGGTCAGCATTCCATTTTGGGAAGAGCTGTTGTTGTGCATGCTGATCCCGATGATCTTGGGAAAGGTATCCCCAGGCACATAAAAAACTTGTTGTCCTCATTTAGTCTTCCATTCTGTATCTGATAAAGCATTGTTTGCTTTTGGCACAGGTGGACATGAACTCAGCAAGACAACTGGCAATGCAGGTGCAAGAGTTGGATGTGGTAATCTCTGAAATTATGCTTATGGATTGGACACTGCTCTCTCTTGATTTCATTTTGAGGTTTTTTATTTTGATCATGTAGATGACCATGTGTGAATTGAGTAGGGTTGTTATGATTTGATTTCCTTTCTCTCCCTGTTCTTTTTATCATTTTCATCTACCTCAGTAAAACTTGAAAAACACATCATAGAAATGATGCCTTTTCTTTCTTAAACTGAAAGATTTTGCACTCATTGAAGTTGTAAGAAACGGGGGGAAATGGGTGCGGTCCCACGCACGTGAAGCGCACTATAATAGGGTGAGCTTAGATGCACCTTAGTGAGGTTCCATCCCAAAACTAATTGGTAGTAGGAGGAGTAGCTCGCTAGACTTATAAGTTAGGCATATTTTCCTGTATAAACGATGTCAGACCTCTCATAAGTGGTATTATAATCTAATAGAAGTCATGGAACTGTAAACCACTTTGTTGATGGTGATAGAAATGCACTGATGAGACTAAGTGGTGTTTTTTGCTCTCATCTCATGCTTGGCAGGTATCATTGGGCTCCAGTCGTCTGTTTAGAGTGAAGCAAGCCAAAAAAAAGATGGTTGAGGACAGACAGCACACACATACACACACAGTTTGTTTTTGGATTTGATATGTATCTGTTGGAATGCGAATTTAGTTGAAATGGAGAGGGTTGAAGGCAGGCAATAAATAAATAAATGATACATTTTAAATTAACTACTCATAATTAGTAAGTAGCACAACTGCTAAACAAGTCTCCTTTTCATTATTGCTAAGATTGTTGTTACGTTTTCCACACGGCTTTTACAGGCCAATAAACAGAAAAACAAACCATTGAGCTGAAATATTTTACTGGTAAACACATATATTTTGGACAACTTAAAAGCGGCACACGGAATCGTCTCTCTTACATTTTATCTGCATACAAAGAAGAAACTTTAGAAGCAGATAGTAGCAGCTAATCATCATAAGGACACACGGGAAAACCTACCAACTGGCTTCTGCTTCGGCTGCTTGAAGCATTTCTATTATAAGTGCCTTCACGTCCCTAATAAAGAAGAGGCGGATGGTAATTGTCAGCTTTATCCATTCGTGTGATTGTTTAGCAGAATTTCTATGGATTCCTTGTAAATTTGATCACTCACTTTCTCTCCACGGCCCGTTTGGGAAATGGAATTCGAAGCTTGAAATTATTCCCATCATACCCAGCCTAGAAAAAACGAGGGGAAAAATCTCAAAACCTTATGGACCGATGAAAATAATTATAACAACATACCACACGAAGACCTAAGACAATTCGAGAAATCCAACTTTCTATAGGAATGAAAAAGATGCAAATATATAACCTTCACGTTAAAACCAAGAGTGTCCACGTCCAACATGTACGCATAGTCCACCTGATAATAGAGCAGGATTTGGATTTAATGAATCATTGTCACGATAATAAAGAAAAATCACCGCAACATATTACCCATTAGAAGCAAAATCAACAGGAGACGAGATTCCAAGAATCACCATTCATTGACTTTTGACATTCTTAGTATCAGAACATTAAGCAAGTGGAAAGAGTATTGCACGATCAATTTCGTGTATTCAAAATCCCACAAGTGCGAGGGAGAAGAACAATCAAGAGATTGAGTTAGTAAAAAATACCGGGACAGATGTAGAGTGTTGCACGATCAATTTCGTATCTTGTGCATGATCTTTGTTCATGTGAGACTGGAAGCATAACTCAAAGCTAAAGTAATCGTGACAATAAAAAAGCCGGGTAAAAATAACAACAAGGATATTAACGATAATATTGATTATCATACCGCTATTGGCTCAGAGAATTGATATAGAGGATCTACTTTTGCTGTCCTAAACTCCTCACCGCTGAATTCTGATAAGAAGACATGCTAATGGAATGAAATGAGAAGCAAATAACACTGTTAATTTTTCTATAATTAGCAAAATTAATTACCTCCAGATTGAAACAAATCTGTTGCAACACCAGACACATATCGTACAATCCAAGGTTCAATTCGTAGAAATAGGAAGTCACCAAAGTCCACCTGCATAAATAGTTTTAGCACGATGGTTGCAACTAAAATTGAGATGAAAATTGAAAGACCATACCCAAAATGCATTGGGATGACTAGTCAAATACGCACTCCGTACAGAATCCAGCTCACTATCAGCAACCTTACAATAATTATACTTGTTATGTGTTAGATAATAAAAAGAGGGACACAAAAATTATCCATATTTCATATTCAGCTACAGAAAAGCAAAAGAAATATGAATTCATCTGAAAGCTAAGATAAAATTAACTACAGGGAGGGCATCTCCATAAAGTGTAACAATGAGGTCAGTCCGGTCCTCTGCATCTTTTGCAATTAGCAACGAGCATTTGGGATTAGCTAAGAGATCCTGCAATTGGCAAAGTTGCTTCTTGATCGAAAATTTTATTTAATTGAACATTTGGAAGTAATTAATAATGAAGGACCTTTGTGTGAAGAGATAGATTGGAAAGGGCTAAAATGGGAGAGCCATAAGAATCACAAGCAAAATCGAGCATTGAGACAGATGGATAATCTTGGTGCTTCTGCATAATTGGTCTATGTATGAA